TTTAAAAACACAGACCAGCCTGGGGAGATAGTGCGATGGTCTAAGCACCTGCCTGGCAAGGACAAGGACCTGGGTTAGATCATACTGAGCCAGCCCCAGAACCCCAGGGTATACAGTGCCAGCCCTGAACACAGGCATTGTGGCACACACCTATAATCCCAGCGCTGGGGAGGTTGAGACAGGAGGATCACTATGAGTCTGAACTGTGTAGCAAGACCCTGTATCTAATTAACTAATTAATTAAAAAATAAAAAAAATTAAAAAGCACTGACCTAAAGATATCCACTTCAGCCACTAATGAGTGAGGGGTACAAGAAATGCCCTACAGCTTCCCTAACAGCCTCTCAACAGCTTCTCCAGTTCTGCCTCTTATGCTGCTGGGAACGATCCTCAGGTGGGCCTCCCACACCCAGCACAATGCTAGTTCAATTCAGCTGGGTGTAACAAGTTGACCACTAGTTAACAATCCACTACATGGGGCAAAATGAAAACATATATCCAGACTAAAACACTAATGAGATATGACTAAACACTAAATGTGATTCTAGATAGGACTCCTGTACGGGATATTAACATTAACAAAATATGAATTTAAACCATATACTAGACAGCAGCATGTGGTAATGTCCAAATTTAAAAATCTGATCATTACATCATATATATATATATATATATATATATATATATATATATCATGGTCCCAGTGTCCCAGTAACACTGAAGCATTTTAGGGCAAAGCACACAGTGCCTGTAATTTCTCTCAAAGGGTTCAGTAAAAATAAATATTTAAAAAACTAATGAGAGGAAGAGAGTGAGCAGATACTCATATGCATGTTTTGATGACAAAATACTAATAGATTGGTAAACCCAAATGAAGGGCACATGGGGGCCTAGATCTACTTCTTTTTTCCACAAATGAAAAACTGTTTTCAAAATAAAAATTTTAAGGGGCCAGGAAGATAGCTCAGTAAAATAAGTGCTTGCCTGGCAAGTGCAAGGTCCTGAGTTCAATCCCCGGTACCAAAAAAAATTAACAGCAGGGTGGGGAGGCAATATAGCAAACTGTAAAGAATCCCAGAAGGGGGCCCAGGGAAATAGCTCAGTAGAATAAGCGCTTGCCTGGCAAGCACAAGGGCCTGAGTTCAATCCCCGGTTCCGCCAAAAAAA